ATTGTAAAAGGGAGCGTAGCTGTCGCCCTGGCTGGAATAACCCAAAAGTTGGTTATCAGCCGTAGCCGCTCTTTTTGGATCTCTGTGCCGTTGCCATAGCTGCTTGCGCGCGGCCACTGCGCTGCTTCTTCGGCTGGTCATTGTCTCTTGCACCTTGTTCCTCGCACCTCGGATTGTCCTTGTCTCTTGGCTGACATTTGGTCTCTTAACCTGCTTTCGAAGCGGTAAGGGCCAGCTGTATGTTAGGTGGCTCGGGGTCTGGTGGTGATCGTGGTTGTGGTTCGGGTGATAAGTATATGGATCCTAATTGGAAGCCAAGAAGGGGAGGCCGAAAGGCCAAAAAGCAGAAGGAGCTTGCTGCAAGGTTTGCCAAAGGGGAACACGTCCCAAAGGGATTTGTGGTTGGTCCCAGTGGTGTGCCGGTAAAAGCGCCTAGTCCCCCTCCAAAGGGTCCTCCGCTGACTGCGTACTCTGTTGGTACTAGTTCGGGCTCACCGGTTCCTGTCCCTAAGGTTGGTAGTGGTTTCAGTGTTCCAAGGGCTCCGCCTCCCGGTGGTTCGGGAAACCTTCACAGTGATATCGGTTGACCATTTGGGGCAGAATAGGGAACAGTGTTGTTGACGTAGTTGAACCTGTTGTTGCAAAAACAGAGGCCATTCCACCTTGGAGAACCCGTCCTGTTAGTGATTTTATTGTTAGTGTTGACACCGCTGTCTCAGAACCCCCGAAGGCGAAGCCAAAGTTGCATCCGTCCAAGCCAAGGAACTCTGAGCCTCCTGTCATTGCTAAGGCTAAGGTTGTTGCTAAGGCTGAGGTGTATCCAAAAGCTGTCCATCCCAAGTTGGAACCGACCAGCGAGGGCAGTGGAGCAGCAGAATCCTCCTCGTCCTCTGGAGTTGCTACTTTGTCTGCACCGGTCGTGGATTTGTCAAGGAATTCCCCTGAGGTAAAAGCCACCAGTGTTCCTTTGGGTGGAAACCTTGAAGTTCGTTTCTGCATTGACTTCAAAGGTGTAAGTAACACAAGTGCAGCAGGTGGGGAGGAGTCAACTGGTTTTCATCCCGAAGCCATCAGGGCTATTTTAGAGTGTCTTCAAGAGTCTTCATCTCATCGGGTGGGTGTGTGTTCATATATTGGACTTCACGGTACATATTCACAGGCTAGGCGTAGCGTGTTGAAACAGGCAGTCATTGATTTGAACACCTACTTGTCTCGTAACGGAATCCCTGCTCATCAGTTGGTGTCCTGTGTTGTTACGAACGACAAAGAGAAGCACTTGATTGACCCTTCTGTGTGTTCTTCACACGTGGACGACAAAACTTTGGTTCTGAGTGCCACACGTGCTAAAAAGTTGGTAAGTGTTTTCTTCTCAAAGTCACGTCACTCCACCTATCCGACTGTCCGCACGTTGAAGGAATATTTCCAGCAGGCCAGGCGACTTGTGGTTCCGCGAAGGTTCGACAAGCCATTTTTCGAGATCCCAAATTGATCCTGTTGGTGAGCAACGAGTAGCATTGCTTTTGATCACAACCTGACACTCGGCGTCATGTCCGGGGGGGTCATCATCATTGGAACTGTCTACTTCTTCTGGGATGATCGCCGGAAACCCCGGCATAGCTATTCATGATAGTGACTCAAGATCATCAAGCATAAGGTCAGTGAAGAGAGGGAGAGAGTTCAAGGGCAACCAATCGCACAGTGCGATCCGACGTACAGCCAGTGGTAGTTCACGACAGCAACCTGACAGACAGCGAACTGAGGCACAGACAGACGAAACATCACAAACAACGTATCAGCAGTTGAATCAAGTGCATGTCGCACCAAGGATGGACGCTGAGGTGTTAAGACAAGCCGCAACTGAGGTGATGTCTGCTAATCAGGCTGTAGCAGACATTAAACTTGAGGCGACGCAATTTGCGGCACAAACTCAATCTGAGGCCGAAAGGATTGTTGCTCAGGCACAAGCATCTGCTGAACGTGTTGTAGCGAGCATTCAGGTGGAGGCTTCTCAGGCTTTGTTGAATCAAGAGAGACAACTGAGACAAACCTTTGAAGCGAGAGAGAGAGAGAGAATTGCTGCAACGAACCCAAGAACTGTCAAACTCAGTTGCCGTTGTTCATCAAGACAATCGAGACCAAACTGCAACGGACATGGTTACTTTGTCTCATCGGATTGACCAATTGGCGGCTAGAATGGATAGCTTTGATCATCAAGTGACCGAGCGTATGTCCAGGTTGGAGGCGTTTTCACAAAGGTCTAGGGTTTCACTTGACCAACTTTCCAACCTGTTGCCTAGTGTTTTGGATTTCGTCCGAAAAGAGATGGGTGATCTCAATGAGAGGCTTGCCAAGATGGAGGAATGGTATGACCAACCAGCTCCTCATGAAGAGGATGATGAACTTGTTCCGCCTTTTTCACCGGTAGGTCACTCACCCCAGAATGTGCAATCAACTGCAGAAATTGGATTCCAGCTACCATCTCAAGGATTTGGATTGCCCAGTAACCCAACCGAACAAGCTGTTCACGCTCCCCATGTTCCACCTGGTACGTTTACCCCATTGACTAGATCAGTGTTGGCACCATCGGTGGTCGATGAGCACGAAGATCGGCGAACATTTGAGGAGCAGTGTATTAGCTTCAAGGAGGCAGCAAGTGTGAAGTTTCCCCCGCTTCCGGAACGCGCTGGTGCACTCCGCCATTGGAAAAACACTTTGATTCCTATGTTGAATTCACTTGACAAGAGTGCAGAGGGTAGGGTTTACACTTGGCTGATGCAGGCTTTTATTGCCACAACTCCTGAGGCTATCGCGGATCTTGCGGCAAGTAGTGGGGACTTTCCCAAGTTGGATCGGATGCTTTGTAGTTGGCTTACTAGGAATGAAGCTCTCAAGGGTCATTTTGGTCCCCGCATCCAGGCTTTCATTGAGCATTCCTTAAGCTGATGGTTCCACTCTTAGAGGGCGTCCCATTTTAAATTTGATTGTGAGAGAATTCGATTTGGACAACGCCTTGGGGGGGATGATTAGTGCTGTAGAGCTTTTCCAAATTCGACCTCCTGAAGGTGATCATGCATCGCTGGTTTCTTTTCGCGATAAGATTCAGCATGGCCTTACGCAGATACCACTTCAAGAGAGGCCTACTGACAACATGCTTTCGAAATGGTTGTTAACTTGAAAGGCTTAAGAAAGTGAGGACTTTTTCCATGGTCATCGACAGAATCAAGGAATCACCTGCAGGCTCTGCGGAGCGCACATTTAACTATCTATGGTCAAGATTAGTCAGGCACATCGCAGAACAACAACATGATCGCAACCTTACTGCTATTCAGGAGGGACTTCGGAAGGGACCCAAGAAACCCGGAATGACTGCCAAGCCAGATCCAAAACCGGACCCCAAAAAGGAGGCCACTGGTACCAATGTTTCAGGGGCTGTTGGTAAAGGCAAGTCCAAAGGTAAGAAGGGTGGAAAAGGGAAATCTTCCAATGACACTTCTAAGGGTAAGAGTGCATCAAACTCAAGTTCGCAGAATCCCAAAGATTCCAAGGATGCCATCAACAAAGACAAAGGTGTTTGCATTTTTTATCCGAAGGGACTTTGCCGAAGGGGGACTGATTGTCCATACAAGCACGAGAGACCTCCATCAGGCAGTGTGGCCAAACCCAAAGGTTCAGTTCCAACTCCTAAGGCCAAGCCCGGATTGGTTGCGTTGGTTGGCTCATCTTTGCTTGGCGCAGTTGCGTCACATGCGCCACAGGTCGCGGACGTCTTTTCAGTCGAGTGGGCACTGGATTCAGGTGCCGGTGAACACTTGGCCTCCAAAGAGGCTCTGATTTCCCAAGGAATTCCAAGTCGTTTGCTTGAGGAGCTCGAAACCGTTTCCTCGTCGCCATTGACGTTTTCGACTGGTGGCGGTCTCAAGGAAGCATCTTTGACCATCCGATCACAAGGGGAAGTGCTTGGAGACGGAGTCATTTACATGTTGAAGAAATGCCCATTTGTCAACTTGTTCAGCAGGGTTTCTCGTTTTTTTGGGGGCCCAATCAATCATGATCCGACTCTTGTTCCAAGTCATGTTGGTTTCAGTGTTGAAAGTGATTCCTCCAAGTGTATTGTTGCTGATCATGTTGACCATTGTGTTCCAGTTTTTCGTGACGAGGTCTCTCTCACTCATGGGGTTCCCACCATGCGACCTGCATTGTTGAGGATTCCGATAATGATGAAGTCAAAATCATTGAACCCAAATCAGGTGCAGCACCACATTCAGGCGCCGAAATTGTTGTGCAGACACCCCCTGAATTGATTGGAGACATGGTTCCCGAAACCCCTGTGGACCAAATCCCAGAATTTCAAAGGCTGTCCCCAAACATTGAGATCTCAGATTCACTCAAAGATCCTGAAGGTCCGGGTGAGTTACATGACCTGGGGCCCAAGGAACCCAAGGTTCCGCCCTCGCATGGCCATGTTCCTTTTGATCACCTGTTTTGTATTGTTTGTCATCAACCGGCATCCCAACATTGCGATGTTTGTAGACAATCAAAATTGAGGGCTAGACCCCACAAACGATTTGGAAATCAAGCTTCAGCTCAGAGGGAGGTTCGAGTTCAGGAAGCCCCTAAGGCATTTTTGGAACGGATTTGTATTGATCACCTGGAGTCCACTGAGGAGGGTCGTCATGGTGAGCAATACGCCTTGGTTGGTGTTGACATATACTCCGGTTCAGTTTTCACTTACCCAAGTCGTTCCAAGGCTCAATCGGCGGTTGAAACGGCTTTGTGTCATTTTTGTTGCGGTAAGAAACCATTAGTGACCTCTGACCGTTATCCCAGCTTACTTGCAGCCATTCGTGAACTTTGGCATTACAAAGCAATCGCTAGACATCACTGACCGTGCCGTGTTTGATCAATTTCTGGTATGGTTGCAGGTTGAAATCCAAGAGTCAGGGGCTCCAATTCACCTTTGGGGTTCCCTTCCCTGCACGAAGTGGAGTCCATGGCAGACCATGGCTGTCCATAAGTATGGGGAAAAATATGCTGAAAAGCTCGAAATCGCCCGTGACGAGTCAAGACTCATGGTTGAAAGATTTGCGGAAGCTGGGCAGTTGGTCCAACTTTCGAGAGGAGGCTCCCAAACCTTCGAGTGGTCAAAGGATTCCACTGGATGGGATGAGCCTGTTGTCCAACAAATGCTTGACATGTTGGATTTGAAACCCGTAAGCATGGACGGATGTGCATTTGGCTTGGAAATCAACGGTAAGTACCCTAGGCATCCTTGGCTGATTCAAACAAGCAACGAACGTTTGCGTAAAGAACTCAGCAGCAAGGTTTGTAGACATGAGAAGGGATTTCATGATGCCTTGGAGGGATCGTTGAGCACCAAATCTGGTTTCTACAATGTTGCTATGGCCACTTGCATTGTCACTACTTTGTTTCCAGGTATTGTTGTTGAACGGGTTCCAGCCATGCCAGTTGTCCCTTTCTCTCAACACGACCACCGGGAACGGGAGGTTCTTCATGAATCATCAGATTTTGTTTTAGGTGCCATCCACAAACTTTTGACCAGAAAAGAGATGCTTAACTCACCTGATGCACTCAAAGCCATCAAAGAAGAAGCCGTGGCGATGCGTGACATGAAAGTATGGGATGACTCCACGGTAATAGAAAAGGATAAGCTTCTCTCCCAAGCTAGAGCGAAAGGCAGCACAATTCACCTCGCAGAGTTGATGTCGATTTGCTCGATAAAGTTTTGGGAGGTACCGTCGAAAAGGCGGTATAAAGGCCGCATCGTGTTCAGGGGGGATCAGGTACGGGACCAATGGGGGGGAGCCGCCAAATTCGGGTCGATGTACAGTACCCCTACCAACGTTCAGGCAATCAACATAGCGATCCTGTTCGGTTTGGTGAAGAAACACGAGCTCCGCGTGGCGGATGCCACTAAGGCGTTCTTGCAGGCACTTTTGGATGCTACCGAAGAGACGCATGTGCTCTTGCCACCCGAAATGTGGCATCCATCATGGATTGGACGCTACCATAAACCTGCAGTGAAGCTGTGCAGAGCGCTGTACGGCCACCCGTTGGCTAGTGCATTTTGGGAAAAGCATTTGAAACGTATCCTTGTTGAGGCTCTTGGTCTTGTCATTGCCGAAGGACACCCCAGTGCATTTTACCACCCACAATGGGAATTGCTTGTAGTTGTCTATGTTGATGACATACTCGCGTCGGGACCGTCCTCCAGCCAAGATCTCTTTTGGGATGCTTTGAAGGGCCATGTTCATTTGGATGAAGTGGAATCTTTATCCCAATTTCTTGGTCGTTTTCATCATCTCCATGATCATGGTTATGTGTTTGACATGGTAGACTATTGCCAGGAAGCTATCAATCTCTATATACTTGGATGTTGCTGGAAAAGATCTTTTCCTTAGGAAGGTTTCAACCCCATACGTTTCAGATGGAGTTTTGACGGATGCTGACTATCAGATTACCGGACAAGTTGCTGACAAGGCTTCAAGTGTGTTAATGAAATTGTTGTGGGTGACAAGGTTGTGCCGACCCGATCTGGCATATTCCATTTGTTCATTGGCAGGTCAGGTCACAAAATGGAGTCGCAATTGTGATAAGCAGTTGCTTCGATTGATTTCGTACCTTAACTCCACCAAGAACTTGTGTCTTCATCTCCCGATGTTAGATTTACCACAAGATTGTACCATTGACTTGTTCTGCGACGCAGACCTAGGAGGATGCCCGCATACAGCAAAGTCAACCAGTCGTTTGTTCCTTGTTGTAAGAGGTCCCCAAGGTACTTTTATCCCCATAACATGGAATGCACGTAGACAAACACACGTTGCCCGCAGCACAGCGGACGCTGAGCTCAACTCATTGGCGGAGGGACTCCATGAGGAGTTGGCAAACAAGTTTGACCCTGGATGCCTTGGCTTGCATTTCCGCACTTAGTCTCGTCCCAACCTTAGTTTGTACGCCGGTCACTTAGAAACGACCTAGTTTCTCTGTCTTCTCCGTTTGAGGGGGTTGTCTCCAGCAGTCAATGCGGGGCAACCTAAGGAATCTTTATGGCTTGCGGCGCTGGAATGGCAGCTCTTTCTTTCGCGATCTGCAGCTGCGTCGTCCTTGCATCTTCTGCGCTGCTAAGAGCCCGCGTTTTTCTAGAATTCATTTCCACCCATACCTTCAAAGTTCCCAAAAAGGTCTTTTCCGAAGCCTTCGAGGCGGATTGGCTAGAACAGTACAGGGTCCATTTTGGCTTGACCTGCTTGCGAAGCGGCATGCCGGACCATTCCTTTGTGGTCACTCTTTTTGGCAAAATGGGTCGTGATTGCCAAAGGCACCTATGTGACTTGGCCGGGCAAGTCACTCTGGTGGCTGCTCTCTGCCGCTGTTTTCCCGTTGTTGTTTTGACCCTTATTTTGCTAACGGGGGGAAGTTTGAGCCACACATGTCCAGCATACTGCATCAATTTGCATTTGCTGCAGGTATCGTGGCTACTCGACTGCATTGGCTCAAGATTGTAGAAAGGAGCGTAGCTGTCGCCCTGGCTGGAATAACCCAAAAGTTCTATCTTATCGACCTTATCGATCTTATCGATCTTATCGATCTTATCTATCTTATCTATCTTACCTATCTTATCTATCTTATCTATCTTATCTATCTGATCTATCTGATCTATCTGATCTATCTTATCTATCTTATCTATCTTATCTATCTTGTCTATCTTATCTATTTTATCTATCTTATCTATCTTATCTGTCTTATCTATCTATCTATCTATCTATCTGTCTATCTATCTATCTATCTAGCTATCTAGCTATCTAGCTATCTAGCTATCTAGCTATCTAGCTTTCTAGCTTTCTAGCTTTCTAGCTATCTAGCTATCTAGCTATCTAGCTATCTAGCTATCTAGCTATCTAGCTATCTAGCTATCTAGCTATCTAGCTATCTATCTGTCTATCTGTCTATTTGTCTATCTATCTATCTGTCTATCTCTATATCTGTCTATCTACCTATCTATCTATGTATCTATCTATCTATCTATCTATCAACCATCTTATCTATATTATTTATCTAATCTATCTAATCTATCTAATCTATCCAATCTATCTAATCTATCCAATCTATCTAATCTATCTATCTATCTATCTATCTATCTATCTCTCTCTATCTATCTACCTATCTTTTTATCTATCTATCTATCTATCTATCTGTCTAATCTATCTAATCTATCTAATCTATCTAATCCATCCATCCATCGATCGATCTATCTATCTATCCATCTATCCATGTATCCATCTACCCATCTATCCATGTATCCATCTATCCATCTATCCACCTATCCATCTATCCATCTATCCATCTGTCCATCTGTCCATCTATCCATCTATCCATCTATCTATCTACCTATCTATCTACCTATCTATCTATCTACCTATCTATCTATCTACCTATCTATCGATCCTATCGATCTATCGTTCTATCGATCTATCGATCTATCGATCTATCGTTCTATTTATCCATCATTTTATCTATCTATCGTTCTACCTATCTATCTATCTATCTAGCTATCTATCTATCTATCAAATGTATGTCATATATATATATATACATATTCATATGTACATATATATATATACATATCTATATACATGCACATATTTTCTATATACATATATGTACACACATATAGTATAGACAGTTGACATTGTTGTTTTGTTTGCCTCCCCTTCTTTGAAACAGAAAAAGCTGTTCGTCACTGGACACGTCAGCAGGTCCTTGGACTCATGGCTCCGTCGAAGGCCAGGGATGTCCTGTGGAAAAGGTCGGAAGTGGATTTTCATGGCGATTTTCATGGGGTTTAGCCAACAACAGTGGTGATTTAATGTGAGTTTAATATAATTTAATGGGATTTAACTAACATCATTGGTGATTTTACTTGGATTTAGCAAACAACAATGGTGATTTAATGGTGATATACCCTCCGGTAATCTATCATATCTAGGAAGCCATGGCTGATTTTAATATCCCCCTTGGAATTTCTACTACAGAATGGTATTCGTTAACCCCCCAAACAGCTACCATTTGACCAAGACTTTTGGTGGTGTGTATGTGTGTGTGCTCACACTGTCATAGTTTAATGGGGTTTAGCCAACACCAGTGGTGATTTAATGCTGATTTTGATGAGGTTTGGCAAACAACACTGGCTATTTTTAAATGTGATATAACCTCCGGTACTTCATCACAACCACGAAGTGGTTGCCCCCGATGATCTACCAAAATATTGACAATTGTCATTTTCCACAGCAAGTTGTTATATTAACAGAGGGTAGCAACTGGTGAATACAGCATCATGCTTTTTTGGGGTAAAACCAGATGTAACCAGCTTATAAGATCTTATAAGATGATTAGCAGCCATTGAGGAGTAACTGGGGTTCGCACATCCAATTCAACCGGGAGGATTCAACCAACCTTCCCCAGTTCGGTAATCCCAACAATAGATTGTAAGCCTTGAGGAGTGGCTGTTGTTTAAGATTCAATCTAAATAATCCCTTAATTATAAATATATATATAATATATATATATATATATATATATGTATATATATATATATATACATATGATTAATTCGTATGTTATATGTATATATATATATATACACATTATTATTGGCTTGGGTGGTATCACCCACCTGGGGGGCTTGGTTGCCCTGGTTGAACCCGCCGCAGGGACTCGGCCTCGCAGAGCGCGCCAACCCCAGCCGTGCCGAGCAAACGGCGGCGACTTCCCAGTGCCGGGATGCATGGCGTGTGCATCTCGGACCACGGAGAGAAAGTGACGTGGTCAGGCCTGGCTGATCCTGTCCCAAGGTTTTGGGAAGGGGAACTATACCTTTTGGTTTCAAATGAACTAACCAGGTTTCAGCTGGGAAAGTCATCCAACTAAATGGGTGAATTTTCCAGCAAACCACGTTCGATGAAACTGGAGGCTAATGGTGTAAGATGGGGTATGATGGGTTCAATTTCATGATTCACCCACCTCAAAAACTTCAAGCCCTAGCCATGGCTGATATCGGAGGCTACTGGGAGGAGCGGCAGCGAAAGTTGGAGACACAGCAGGTTGACACACAGCTCTTTGGATCTGTGGCCAACTGCTTGGGAACAGAGGCAGATCGATGGTGGATGGTCATTGGGTTGTCATATCAACTGAGTTTTTTTACAGTGGGATATTTGTGGATGCCGATTGCCAATATTGGGCATGTTGAAAGAGGTTGAAACATGTTGAAACCACCAATCACTAATCGGTACAAGATAGGTACTGTTCTAATCACTGTAGTGTTGACCACATTACCCGTGTTCAATTGAATACCCACCAAATCCAAATAATTATGGCTGGTATACTGGTATGATATGCTTGATCCTTTCAGCGCAGCCACGGCTCAGCCATAACTGTCCATTTGGTGACGTTTTCAAGATCTGGACTTGAAGAACTTGTTCAAACAGAGGTTTACAGTTACGATTGCATGGCTGCAGCATTTTCTACCCGGAGTGCAGGCTGAAGGGACGGCTGTGCAGTCGGATCTCTTCCGAAACTGCTTCATCTACTTTGATGGCCGTGTGGATGTGGGAGGCGTTTGGCTGGGTGGAACAGGCAGATTGGCAGATTGCAGCTACAGCTACACTGGGTAGATCAAGAAAGATTACATTTATGAAACTGTTGCAGCCTCTAGCTGAACAAAGTGAAATTATGTTTTTTCAGTCATTTTCATTTACATTTTTACACTGAAAGTTATCATTATATGTTCATTGCCAAAGTGTTTTTTTCATGTGGGTTTTCTTTATCATTATTTCCATGTGTTTGTCTCATTCTATCTATGGATTTCAGTTTTCATGTTTATCTTGTTTTTTTCGTTTGGATTTTTATTGATTGTTATTTCCATGTTTTGCTCATCTGGATTTTGATGTTTTTGTTTTCTCATTTGCATGTTCATGTTGTCAAACACGCTCATTTTAGTTCAAGCGTTTCTTGGCTTTCATTTTTATGTTCATGCTGTCAAACATGTTCAGTTTTCATTTTGCTTTTTGGGCGTTTGTTTCCCGTTCAGTGCGACATTGTCCCAGTGTTGCATTATGCTGTCTTATGTTTGTTTTCTGTTTGTGTTTACACTTATGTACATTCAAACTGTTTCTTTTGCAAAAAGTACTGCATATTTTTTCAAAATGAACAAGATACATACCATGAAGCCAAATGAACATCCCAATGAAAATCCAATGAAAACCCATTTCGACAATGAACATATAAAGATGCTCAGACGAATGACGCTGCTGGTTGGCTGCTCGTCCTTCAGCTTCTGTTGGCCTCTCTGAGATGGCGATGGAAAGAGAGAGAGAGAGAGAGGTTTTTTAATGAAAAAAACTGTAAATGAAAATGACAAAAAATGAAAAAGCAAATAAAACCTTGTAAGGCTGCCCAAGAAAGATGTAAGATCACATGTTTTCCCAATAAATTCACTGCTGGCTATGTAAATTCACTGCTGGCTTTGGGAAATGCGAAAATGCTTGATAGGTGTTTAGAAGCGACTGAACAACTACATGCCTATGTTGTTTTTGCTCACGCCCAAGGTACGGTCCCGGGCATGTTAAGTTCGTGTCAACTTGTACAGCACGTGGATGCTACGCTGGACATGTGTGGGGTGGGGTGGGGTGGGGCATGTTAGCGTTCGTGTGAACTTGTACAGCAGGTGGATGCTACGCTGGACATGGCTTGCTTGAGCGAGGACGCAATGGTCGGTTCCTGGTGGCAGAATTGCCACATAAGCTCGTGGCTCCTTCTGGTAGCCCACCACCGGAATCGAAGTCTGATGTTGTTGGAACTGCTCTGATGAAGCGCGCGCATGGATCGGCAACTCTTTTTTCTGACCGGGCCAAAGCCTGGAAGACTTTGGCGCATGGCAAAACGATGAAATTTGCAGAGGTGTCCCACAAAAGGATGCAGTTTTGTAAGAAGCGTGGGCCACGCAAGAGGACAGCGGGCACGCAGTGTATAGATAGGACCAGATAGGAAGTGGCAGTCTCTTTTTAAAGCAATATGCCCAAGGAGCTGTGCAACAAGCATAAGCTCACTCGAGATGTGAATGGATCCATCCGAGACTACGTGTTTGCGTTTGTTTGTCGCACAAACTGCGGCAACGCAAACACGTTGAACAAGCTGGCTGACTTGGCCCCCACGTGCTGAGACAAAAAAAGTTTGTTTTTTTCAAACGCGTGTGTTGCATGCACATGGATGCTAAACATGGGTGGAGCTGCGAATTCATAGCCTCAAAGTCATGCAAATACCACCAAAATGGATGATGGTTTTTGCAAAGTGAACACAGAAACCCTGTACGAGTTGTCGATTTTATGCATCGCCCATGCTGAGCATTCGCGAAAACAGCGGGACCGTGATTTACGACGTGACCTTGTTTTTGCCACGCGTTGGCACTTTTGGGGGTCGCTGGTGGCCTTGGCGAAGCTCAGTAGAGCTTCGGCAAAATTTCAAGGGGTTGCCAACAGTCCCAGCAGAGTTTACGAAAAATCGGGGTGTTGGGAGAGTGGCAAAAATGATACACATCTTTGTGCTACATACTACCGGTGGCATTGGAATTCCTTTGAGACAATTCCCCTCTTCAAGCAGAGGAATTCTGAGTGGAGGCATATCAGGGACCACGATGCCCATTTTCGGCCACAAGTATTTCTTGTAGTCTCCAGTTCCTCTTATATTCGCAGAAAAGTTATGGGCCTTGCAATCACACAGAATTGGGAGAGAGAATCCAGGAGTGACATATGTTTGTAACATTTCATTGCCGGCCATTGCCCAGCTATGCACAGGCGGGCTTTCCGCATATGCCTTGGGCAAAGTGGCGCGTCTTCATGGTGCAAACCTCTGCCCACGCCTGGCAAAACGTCAAGTGACACATGTCGTTTGCAGCCAGCTGAGTGGTGCCAAAGAACGACATGCTTTGAGGGATGTTTCTCGTCCTGCTTCGAAATGGTGAAAAACTTGAAGGGTACCCCCTACCTTTCTATACGCATTGTAACTGAATGCAATTGAGAAAGGGCCACCCACCATAAACATGAGCACAGTGATAGATAGGCAGGCATAGGTTTTCATAGAAAAGAATGCAAATTCCGCGGGACAGGATTATCAGGATAGGCATGAAGGTCACGATCCTCAGCAGCGCGGCCAGAGTCCAGTTTGTAGTTTCTTTGTTTCCGGAAGTTACTTTTCTTTCATGGCATTGACCCTTAAAATGCGCGTCTATCAATTAATCTGTTCTCCCTAGCTCAAAAGACATGACGCATGATCACCCAGAGTTCTATCATCATGGATCCCTTTCTATCCATTCCCTGCTCGGTTTGCTGGGAATTACGAGGTTTTTAACTGCCTGCAGTACACAAACATCGCAATGGAAAAAAAGATCAACTTCAGATCAACATGGCCTTTTTGGATGATGATTTGCCGATTTGAAGATATTTGAAGTTACCTATGATAGGCCTTTACCTATATCAATCATAGATGTTACCTCTCAAACATTGGTGGCCAAGGCCACCTCGGCCCTGGCCTGCGGGCAATACATCGTCCATCCCACCTGGATCACGGAGTCCGTGGCGGCCAAACGTCGCTTGCCGGAACGACACTTTTCGTTAATGGCGCGGATCTCACAAGGACGAACTCGGAGAACTCGGAGAACCGGTTGATGGAGAACTCGTGAAACGAAGACAAGAGTTGAGTTGGTTGTGGTTTATGTGGGTTCAGTAATTGTTTTTTTGGTAGATTTGCGTTTTACTTGATTGAGTTGGTTTCCATCAAAACAACAGTGGCACTACACAATGACAGCTCCAAGCGGACGTGCTCCAGAACCCTTCGACAGGTGAAGGAGTTGTTCGTGGCTGGGATTCGTCCTCCGCATAATTTCCAGTGAGATTGGTACCCAGAGCGATGGTTGTTTAATGCCATTTAATTCGATCTATTTAGCGAATGCGGAAACAAGGGGTGAACAGAACCATCCAACGTCAGGAACTGTTTAACCGACCCTTTACCTTAGTCTTTTGGTATCAATGGGATTATCTACTAACCAGCTAAGAATTTCATTGTTTGCAGGGTATCTAAGATTGGCCATGCTTAGAGGAAACACGTGTTGAAACCCGCAAAAGCATGACAAGGTTTGTGTTAGTTTGCAATGGTTAGGCAGGTCTTCCCGCCCCATTTTCGCTGCGGACTCTAGAACATCTAGAAACATCTAGAAAGTAGAACACATGAACTAGAACATCTAGACTCTAGAATCTGGCATCCTTCTTGAAGAAGTTTCAAGATCTTTGTTCTCAACTGACAATGGGCAGACACTTGGTCGCATCATATCCTCAAAAATTGCTGCTGAATGTGATGGCTCCAGCTGAAAAGTGATGGCTCCAGCACCGGCCCTGGAGGATTTGGCTTGAGCACTCTGGACGCAAAGCCTTCCAGAAAGCCGCTTAGCCATACTTAGTATCCAGGGCCAGCCAACTATGACCATTGTGATTTGTGCTGAAGCAGGTAAAACTTCCCAAACTGCGGGTCCTACATGACTTGTTGTCCCTTTTTATCTTCAAGATGCATCCCGTTTGCCTATCTATATTTATCATGATTTATTGATCTAAGTCCTGTCCATCTAAGTCCGCTGTATACGAAATAAATACAAATAAATCCATATCATAAATCCATATGAATCCTATAGTGGTGTTGTTATTTTGTTGGAGGCCCCCAGGATGTTTCAGGTATCTCACCATTTTCATAGGATGCAACGGACAGCGGTCCAGCGCCTGGAACACGTCGAGAGAGTCGACCTCACTGGTAGCGAGGCCAGGCGGGACGGTTTTTTTTTTGGGTCGGAAAAACCATGGAAAAACAGCCTTCAGATGGGCAAAGATATGGGCATTTGATGTAATTGTTCATGTCATTTTTGATGTCACCTTCAGGTTTATAGATTATTAATGAGTATTATAAAGTTTGAGGTTCCCAAATGTGAAAACCTTCAGGCTGCATCTGGATTTTCACAGCAATTGATATGGACCCATCCCCATAAAGGCAAGCAGACAACATACATACCCCCTGGGCTGTGGTTTACAATCATGTTTTAAATTGCTTTGCACCAATGGGGGCTCACTCAAAATGCCACATAATGGTTATTTTCATGTGGAACATGACGATCAATCACTGGATTTTGGAGCATCCCACTTTGGCACCATCCCTCATCGAGGTCTCTGTAGATGTGGTGGTATCCGACAGCCCCATGGCAGATGCTTTCAGCCAAAGCAGTTCGATCGTAGCTGCCACCGTTTTGGATAGCGAAGACGAAAGCCAAGAAACGGAATTGGATAGTGATGCCGCAGAATGACTAGCAGAGTGATGGCGCAACATTTGGGGTCGTCTCAAAGTCACACCAAACTCCCGTTGATCATCAACTGTTCCCTATGAACATCGCGATTTTGGGGTATCTTGGGGAAGGCCCATTTTGAGACAAACCCATTATAAATAGCCCGGTAGACATTGAATGTCAAGTTGGAGTTTGTCGCAGTTTGTCGCACTTTGTCGGCTAATTCAATGCAGGCTAGCCTGGACTCAGCCTTGAAACGTAGTTCTGCTGTCGTAAATTGGAGGAATAGACTAGACCATAAATAAATGACCCAACATGTCAAGTTGGCGAAATATGTTATTCCAGATAGGTTCTAAAAAGATGGAGCACGCATGAAAATCAAATCAGAGGGAGATGGAAGTCAAACTGCTACTAGTATAGACATGTATAAACTATATACCATAAAGTCATGTAAATATTCCAAACGAGGAATGACAATGTCATGAGTTAGTTACTTGAAAGGGGACATCAATCGACACAGACATTGGAGGATATGTTTCATTCATGCAAAGCCACGCTGACAAGTACACAATTTCAGTGCAGGACCCTTATGTTCCTTCACTATTTGGCGTTGGCGATACCCCGTCACCAAGACATTACGTATACTTAATAAAATATAGTACAACTTTTTATATAATATTTAATATTATATATATTATATTATATATATTAGTATATAATATATAAGATAATTGGTAATAATAATAATATATATATTATATTACTTAATGTGCAATTTAAAATATTCAACAATATTTAATATTATATATAATATCAAAAATACAATATATTCCAATATAGTATTTATATATGTATATACATGTAATGTCATGTAATGTAAGCTAATGTCATGTAATGGTATGGCATGGTACGGTACAGTACGGTAGGGTATGGTATGGTATGGCATGAATGCATGGATGTGTCTATGCAATGTATAATGTAATATGTAATATGTAATATCTAATATCTAATATCTAATATGTAATGCTATGTATGTATGTATGTATGTATGTATGTATTCATGTCATGTAATGGAATGTAACTTAATGTAATGTAATGTATGTACAACATGATGATTTATTACAAGTATATGTGTGACTCAACGCAATGCAAGTAATGCGCAATGTAATATCATGTAATGCAAAGCAATGTAACGTAATATAACCTACATGTAAATGCACATGCACATGTACATTTGAATGTAAATACGCAGATCCAAGTATGTGCATATGTACATATATATATATATATATATAAAGGGGTATCTATGTGCATGCATAGGTACGTGTACAAATATGTATATGTTTGTGCGTGTGCATGAGCAAGTATATATTCGTATATGCATGAATGTATATATACCAGTAGTGCCCGGCCCATGCCAGAGCGGAAGCTTCGAAAAAATAAAACGGCTATAGGAAATGAACGGCCTATAGGAGAGCTTTTCTGATGCAGAAGCAATGAAGTATTGAAGTTGCGAGGTGCATCAACGAATGAGCAAAATGGTTTTTGAGATGACCATGAAAATCAACGAACCAATGAATCAAGGGTTCAACGAATCAATGAAACAGAGGATCAATGAACCAACCCTTCAATGAATCAATGAAAACAACGCAGCAACAAATCAATGAATCAAAGAATCAACCATTCAGCGACTCAATGAACCAGTGAAGAAACGAGTCAGTGAATCAGTGAATCAATGATTGAACAAAGCAGTGAGTCAATGATTCAAGGATTTCATGTTTCAATGAATCAATGCACCAATGAATCAGCGAATCATTATACCGATGAACCAATGAATGAATTGTTCAACGATTGAGTGAGTCATTGAGTCAATGATTCAGTGAATCAACGAAGCAATGAATCAACGAATAAGTGGTTCAACGATTCAGTGATTCAATGAGTCGCTGAATCAATTAATCACTGTGGATCAACAAATGAATGAATGAATGCATGAAATGAAATGAAATGAAATGAAATGAAATGAATGGAATGGAATGGAATGGAATGGGAATGGGAATGGGAATGGGAATGGGAATGGAATGGAATGGAATGGAATGAATGAACGAACCAATGAACCATTGAATCAATGAACCGAAGAAGACGAAATACCACACAAAAAGCCATCAAAACAGTTCAAGACCAGGTTCTGTCAAGATCGTTTGGTGTCCGCGCATTGTGTGCAAGTTCCGCCCAAATGTCCATGCTGAGCTAATTGTCAGAAAATGGTGATATAGCGGAATTTCCAGGTATGTTTCGTATGTAGATATATAATGATATATATATATATATGTGTCTGTGTGCCTGTGTACGGTCATGTAATGTAACTCAGCGCAACGCAACGCGCAATGTAATGTAACGCAAGGCAATGCAATGTATTGTAAATGTGCAAGCAAATGCACATGTAAATGTAAATGTAAATATGTAGATGTAAATGTGTGCATGTGTAAACATACAAAGAGATTTATGTATATATACATAGGTATATGTACATATATGTCTATCTATATATATATATATCTATATGTGTGTGTGCGCGCAGAAATAAGTATATATCTAAGTGTACGTATGTATGTACATTTATACATATGTATATAAATATAAATATATATATATATATATCATATGAACCTGTGTGCTGTCTATACATGTCCAAATGGTGGATTCAAAGGTTGTTGAATTTCCATGCCTATTTGGCATAATCAATCTCGTTGACCAACATTTTTTTGGGATCAGTTGCTGGGCAAGCCAGCAGCGTGTTTTTTCTTTGTTTTCGGGTATCCATTTCTTATTTCCTAGTGCTGGTATCCACCACCCACACACGCAATTTACATATCCACCACTATTTTGTGTCAAACGCCATATTGTTTGGAATCTACGTGGCCCATGCATGAATGCCAATTCACTTTCAGTCCATGAACGCAGTGCAACCCCCGCAGACGCAGAAAAGGTGATGAAGCAGATCCACCTGGAATCGGCTGCGGTATGCTGACCCACAAACGACGGATCATTCTTTATTCTTATAGTACGTCCCGGGAATCAAACATGGCTTGTTGGTGCCACTTTGGTGAGCGGGCGGTCGAAAGAAATTTAGAAGTCAAACTTCCGGCAATATGGACAGATGGAAAAGCAGAGGTGGGACAAGTCAGACAAGAGAAAGGAAGAAGTAAGAAGATCAGAGAAGAGAAAAAGTCAGAAGAAAGAAGGTTCAGGTGCGCGAAAAGGTAGAACAGTTGCACTGTGTTTTCGGAAGGGTCGAAAAGTAGGCTCGCTAAAGCGGCGGATGCGGAGCCATCAGGTCGGATGAGAAAGCAAAAAATTGCACGCGGCTGTGGCGCGAAGGACACTTCGGAGTCAAAATGTGCGGAACAGTTCAGGTTCGGAGCACTTTTGAATGTTGAGCCGTTGAAGAAGTGCATGTGGCTGTGGCGCCAAGGACATTTCGAAGTCAAAATGCGTAAAGCACATCAGCTTCGGAGAGCTTTTGGAACTTGAGATGTAGGATAGAAAAGGTGCGCGTGGCTGTGGTCCAAAGCACATACATGTCTAAGCCAACATGTTAAAAACACATCAGCCTGGGAGCGCTTTTGGAAGTTGAGACGTTCAAAAAGTGCACGCCGTTGTGACACCAAGCAGATTTGGAAGTCAAGAGTGTTAAAAACTGACCATCTCGGACCACTTTTGGACGTTGAGATGTCAAAAAAATGCACACCGTTGTGGCGCGAAGCACATTTGCAAGTCAAAAGTGCTAAAGACTGACGGTCTCGGGCCATTTTTGGACGTTGAGATTCCAAGAAAGTGCGCGCAACTACTATTATTACACGACAACTACACTACAAGTACAAATACAGCTACAACTACAGCTACAAGATGCTACAAGTACACGACATTAGGCTACAACTACACTACGAACATTGACCGAGTCAGCAACCAACCGAGTCAGCAACTACGAGTCAGCAACTAAAAACAACCGAGTGAGCAACTACGAACACCCGAGTCAGCCACCAAGAGTCAGCAACTAAAGAAGCCGAGTCAGAAACTACCCGAGTTAGCAACCAAGAACGTCCGAGTCAGCAACCAAGAACGTGCGAGTCAGCAAGCAAAAAATAGACCTTTTCAGCAACCAAACCGTTTCAAGAATGGCATACAAACACTAGCACACATACACGTTGAACCAGAGGTGGGGTGGGGGGGTGGGATGGGGTGGGATGTTAACGTTCCCTGGCACTTGCAAAACAAGTGGCACACAAACACTATCACACATACACGTTGAACCAGGGGTGGGGTGGGGGGGGTTCCGGTTCAACAAGGTTCCGGAGAAGGTTCCGGCGAAGGCTCCGGAGAAGGTTGCGAGAGGCTTTGGTGCAGAGCCAGGGCACGTTCAACAGGGTTCCGCAAAAGGTTCCGGAGAAGCTTCCAGGAAGCCTTGGTGCAAAACAAAGTCAGGTTCAGCAGGGTTCCGGAGAAGGTTCCGGAGAAGGGAGGCTTTGGTGCAGAGGCAGGTGAAGTCTGGGAGGCTTTGATGCAAAGCCATGTCACTTTCAACAGGGTTCAGGAGAAGGCTCCGGAGAAGGTTGCGGAGCCAACAGGGTTCCGGAAAAGGTTCCGGCGAAGGCTCCCAAAAAAGGTTGCGAGATGCTTTGGTGCAGAGCCAGTCTAAGCTTTGCCTCCATTTTAGTTACCAACTATGTTGGTTTCTTATAGTTGCCGACTCATAGTTCCCGACTCAGCGCTTTTGATTGCCGACTCAGACTGGTTTTGGTTGCCGACTCAGCCATTTTTGGTTGCCGACTCATAGTTGCCGACTCAGCCCTTTTGGTTGCCGACTCAGGCCGCGACCGCTACACTACACCACACCACACCACACTACACGACGCCACAATACACAACACAACACAACACTACACTACACTATACCCACACTTACACCTACAACTACACCGCACTAGACTACACTAGACCACATTAGACTACACGGCGCTACAATCAACAACTGCAGCTACACCTACAACTACACCTTCATTACACTACAACTATAACTACCACTACATTACAACTAGAACTAGAAATACAACTACAGCTACACCTGCAACTACACTACAATACACCAGGCTACAGCTGCACTACAGCTACAGCTGCAACTACAGCTACAACTACAGCTACAACTACACTATACAACTACAACTGCAACTACAGCTACAACTGCAATTGCGCACGATTCTAAACTAGACTGCAACTACACCTACAACTAACACCGCAAGTACAACTACAACTAGAGCTTTAATTACAACTCCATTGGGCTACGCTAGATTATAGATAGACAGGTAGATAGACAGAGAGAGAGAGAGACATTGTGATTCATCAGTGGGTTCGCTCTGCCATCCATGCATCACAGCAGCTCGCCTCTCCTGCAATTAATCACCTTTACATAGGGCCCTATCTTTGAGACTTCTGCCACCACCTTGTGCGGCACTAGTGGCATAAAAACCATGCATTTTGGGGTCCTGGGAACCTTTGGAGCCATATTCATAATTGTCCTAAGCAGGCTTTGAACCTTCAACAATCAGAGAAGAATGTATCCACTTCCCACCAGCTGTGGGGACCATTGGGGCAGGAAACCAACATTACACTAGAGATCACATTTCGCCTTTTGAACTCCACCCTTTTCCCATGGCCATGTGCATTTAAAAGGGCCAGGGGTGTTGACACCAATCATTTCCGCATATGTAAATTTAATTAACAACACACAAATCACCTCGTTGCAGAGCACATGGCCAGATGTCAGTGCGTGGGTCGCCTGCATAGATAGAATAGATGTGCGAGTGTGTGCGCGTGCTTGTGTTGGCTCATTTGGATTTCAAGGCCCCTCAACGGATTTCCCGCCTTGTGTCAATGCCCCAGCCTGACAGCCTGAAGCCATGGGAAATCGGGCGAGTCAGCCAAATTCTGACCCTGTCAGCAAATCCTTTGGGAGCATGTGGGTGTTGAGAGTCAAAGACTTCTTGGAGCTGGACCACATGCCAAAACATGAAGATCTTCGAAAGAAAGGACGGCTTGCTGGTTGTTTCAAATAGGTGTGTTTAAGAATGTGGTACCATGGTTCATTTATTTCCCTAACAGTGCGTTCACACACTATGAAGTTCTTATCGAAGGTGGTGGCATCCATGTCCCGATAATTTGGCGACCTTTGCAGCCCAAAAGTTCGACAGAAGTCTTGCACAAAATTTGGTCTTGGAGAGCTCTGTTGCAGAGATGCGCTTGTGCCTGCGTGCGGTATCCGTTTTTGGAGCTATACTGGTATTTCGTGGCAGGCGCAAGGTTAGGTCATTTATTCGTGGCAGGCGCATTACTTCTACTTGGTGAACTTGGTGACGGCTTCGCGTTTTGTGGGTTTTTTGTCATTCAGGCACAAGACTTCGGAGCCTCAGTTTTTTTGCTGGCAGGTGCAGTACTTTAGAGAATGCGACGCAAAAACCCATAGGTAAAGCATCCGATTACACATTTCAATTTTCACCACTGTGGTGAGCGCAATATTTGGTGAATTTCCCACACGTGCTCGCGCAACCTTCCCATCACTTTGTGCGTGTCGGATTGTTCTCGTTGTGGCGCGGTGATCATTTTGACATCGATCGCGCGATTGTCTCGTTACTTTGTGCGTTTCGGATTATTCTCGTTGTGGCGCGGTGCTCACTTAGATATCGCTCGCGCGATTGGCTCGTTACTTTGCGCTGCTCGTTTTCTCGTTGTGACGCGGTGCTCACTTAGATATCGCTCGCGCGATTGTCTCGTTACTTTGGGCTGCTCGTTCTCTCGTTGTGGTGCGGTGCTCACTTAGATATCGCTCGCGTGATTGTCTCGTTATACTTTGTGCTGCTCGTTTTCTCGGTGTGGCGCGGCGCTCATTTTGTTATATTCTCGACTTTGTGTTTCATGATCTCATTGCGGAGCGGTGCTCATTTTGATCATTTTGATATCGCACACGCGAGTCTCAGCACTTTGTGCGTGTTTCATCGGTGTTCGTTGTGGCGCGATGCTCAGACAGTCAGTTAATAAAAGTTTCATGACAACGATCTTGTAGAGGTCCTTGTGGCAGGATGTTGTGGTGATCCTCGTGAAATCTTATAGAGGTCCTTTGCATGAAAGTCTTGAAGATCCCCGTAATAGAGGTGTTTATGGAACCTCTTGCAGAATCCTCTGAAGAGGTTCTTGAAAAACTATATTGATCCTTGTAATTGTATGACAATCTTGTGAGGTTCTCTTTTTGGTCCTGATTTGAAGATTTTGAATATTTTGACCCAGATCGTGTAGACTCTAGACTTCTTTGCGGGAAAGAAGATCTTGAAAAGATCTTGTTGGTATCCTCCCGGGACTCGCAGAAGTCAATCCAAGGAAAATTTTGAAGATCCCCTGTATCAGAGGTGCTTGTGCGAAAGCTCTTGTGGGATACTTTGAGATCTGAGATCTTGAGGAGGTTCTTGTAAAACAATCTTGTAGGATCCTCTACGGCAATTTTGAGTTTCTCTTTGGCGCCCTGGTTCTTGTATAGTAGTATAGGTCTTGTGAGGAGATTTTGTCCGTAGATATTCTCCTCAAGACGCCCCTTGCCAATTTTGATTTTACAGTATTTTGATGCATTTTGTAATTGCTGTAAGCATTTTTTGGGCTTCACATGGTTACTGTACTTGACGTGCTTCATTCTCAGACATACCATGTCATCCCATTCATCCCAGCTAAGGGGACCATGATCCCTGACGACGTTCATATTCTAGGGTTGAAAACACCAAACGGATGCATCCAGAATCCAGATGGTATGAGATGGTATGAGTACGTGTTAGAAAAGCATTGGGCAGAACCTCTCGCAACCTTTGACCTTAAAATTCGTTAGAATTTGTGCAAAAGTTACATTTAGTGCTGCAAGGCCGCAGGGCTGCACCGCATGTCCTTTCCCGTCAATGGATGACTTGCCATCATTGCGGGTAATCATGATAGGGAGAACCAAACTGATCGTCGCAATGATAACAAATTAGGAATTGGCATGTTCAACCATAACATGGTAGATGGAAGGCTCACACCCAAGTTTAGTTTCATACTATACTATATTTTTTGCCACTCAAGCACAAACCAGGACTTTTGGTCAAACGGAGCCCCGCCCATTTCTGCGTTTTTGTGTCGCACCAATGGCTGGGTTCTTCTCATCCAGACCCTGAGTTTCTGCAACTGCCGGTGCTTCAAAAAGCACTGCGAAAGCTCATTGCAGGCGAAACTATGGCCACAAGTGATTTGGCCTCCCAGTTTCTGGGCGACACCCGCCGGTTCTCACAACAGGAACGAAAGAGCTTGAGCACTGGCTATATCTGGATGGATTGGTTCAGCATCCCTCAGGCGACTTTTGACCCTTTTGACCTGAAAGACTCCGCAGGTGTGACCCTCTCGACATATTCTGAGTTGGAAGTGGGGGCCACCGCCAGTGCCCTGCGAAGCCCAACTGGAACCACCCAGGACTTGTACGTCAGTTCCATTCCTTTCTATGTAGAGGTGCGCATGCCTCAAAAAATGTAGAAGAATGTAACAAAAAACATATATATATATAAGATATTTGAGACATTGTCTGATTTTGGAATGTATATACATATTTATATATATGTTATAGACATATCATACCCCATTTGTATACATATAGACAGATGTGTATGTCCCCAGAAATTGGATGCCCAGACCAACCAGCAGCCATTGCGCTCCGGAGCCAGGTCTCTGATGTCTTTGTGGCGCTGGTCCCACGCCTTCATCATAGAGATACAGGGCAACTCTGCGATCTGAAGTCTTACTTGACCCGAGGTCCGTGTTGATTTGGAAAATCCACACGAAAATTAACCTGGCAAGAGACCCCAAAACAGCGTGGGGCAGTGGGAGGGTTTTTAATATATAATAATGTGGATGATGATGATGCTGATGATGATGATGATGGTGGTGATGATGATGGTGATGGTGATGGTGATGGTGGTGGTGGTGGTGATGATGATGATGATGATGTTTCGGACAATGATGTTGAGGATGACGATGATGATGATGATGATGATGGTAATGATGACGATGATGATGATGATGATGATGATGGTAATGATGACGATGTTGGTGTTGATGATGATGATGATGCTGAGAAGGAGGAAGATGATTATTGTTTAAGATAATATTGTTTATGAGGATGATGAAAAGGATGATAATGTTGCGGAAGATGAGGTGGAGGATGATGATGTTGAGGATGATCATGTCAAGGGGGGGGAAGATGATGATGCTGAGGAAGAGGACCGATCCCAAGAGCGCGACCCACACTTTGTGCAAGCCTGTGCAATCGAAAATCCACACCAAAAATCCCTCAACATGATTCCAGCAAATTCTCGCAAAAAGTGGCTCTTGTGACATGTCCAAGTGCATGTCGGCTGCGCAGGCTCGCACAAAGTATGGTCCCTGTTTCTGGTCGGCGGAATTTTACCTGTAAATTTCTGTATAAAGTGGCGCTTGTGAAATGTCCAAATGCATTTCGAGTGCGCAAGCTCGCAAAAAGTATGGTCCCCGGTTCCGGTCGGCGGCATTTTACCTGTAAATGCGTGTAAAAAGTTGCTCTTAGTGAAATGTCCACATGCATTTCGACTGCGCTGGCTCGCACAAATTGTGGTCCCCGCTCTTGGTCTGCGGCATTTTACATGTGAATTCTCGCACAAAATGGCTCTTGTGATATGATGAAGTTCATTTCGACCGCGCAGGCTCGCACAAAGTGTGGGTCGCGGTCTTGGGATCGGTCCTCCTCCTCAATCATCATCCTCAACATCATTACCTTCCTCCTCTTCAACATCATCAGTCATTGTAACATCATCATCTACCTCCCCCTTGACATGATCATCCTCAACATCATCGTCCTCCACCTCACCTTCTGCAACATCATCATCCTCCACCTCATCTTCCGCAACATTATCACCCTTTGCATCATCCTCCTAAACATTATCACCTTAAAAATCATCATCTTCCTCCTTCTCAACATCATCATCATCCTCCACCTGATCCTCCATTTCATCTTCCGCATTGTCATCCTCATTCTCCTCCTCCTCGCCAACATCAGCATCCTCCATACCGTCCTCATCATCATCATCATCATCATCATCATCATTATCATCATCATCATCACCATCATCTTCTTCATCATCGTCATCATCATCATCGTCATCATCAACATCAGCATCATCATCATCATCATCCACATTATCATACATTACCCTCCACTGCCCCAGGCTGTTTTGGGGTCTATTGCCGGGATATGTTTTTCCCTGGTTTATCTAAGTCACATTGTTTGTTGATAATCGGGAGGCCTTGCATTTCCAAAATCTATACTGGGATAGTAGGGGGATATGCATGGATGAACGGATGAGATATCTACAGTTAATTCAACCTAATTATTGTGTACTGAGCATGTTGAAGACTAATCATGACGAATCCCTTCCCCTAATGCACCAGATTATCAACACCCGCTAGAGTCACCATGGTGGATGTAGCGAATGAAGCCACATATCGGAGACCATGCAACGGGGGTGGCGTTTATTTGTTGTTCCAAAAAATGGGAGTCCAGTGGCATTGTTTTAATGATTTTAATGTGTTATCGCCTCAAGGTTGGTGCCGGCTTGAAATGTGGTGTTCCATATTGTCACCTTCGGAGAAGCCGTTTCTGGTGGTGAAGGGTGGCTAGCCAGTGGTTTACACGAAGTTTTTGCCTCTTTTCCCGTCCTACCTGGGAGGATAATCCCAATCAAAATATCACATGTCGTCTTTCTTTGGGGAGGGGTTGAACCCACCAACCAGGCAGTAATGAGGTGGAACTTGCCAATTTGATCTTTATGGCAGACCGTCCCCCACATGAAGGTGACTTTACCATCGAATCAGATCGCCCTGTGATTTTCTACGTGATGGGCAAGGCATTAAGGGCTAAACTGCGGACATTGAGGCAGCAAAGGGCGTGGGACCTTTATCGGTTCACCCTGGCAAGATATGAGTTACTCCTTGGCCTCCCTCCTCGTGAGAGGGATCTGACCAGTTTCATGCAGGACTTCAACTTCGAATCCCTAGAGTCTGCCAAAAGCATTAGAGGTATTGGGCCTTTGGAATGTGCAGTTCTTTCAAGCCATGTCGCGATGATTCCGGTGCTGGCCCATGCTGGCTATGATTTGACTCGGGTAGTGCATGCCCAGATCAATATCCAAACCCTGCAGGAAGGACATTCTTCCTTGGCCTTTGCTCTTGAGCTTTCCTGGCGCACTCCAGAGGTGGCATCGCAGTTGGTGAAATTCAGAGCAAATCCCAATGTCACCGATACATTTGGCCTTCTTCCACTTGGGTTTTGCCGAACACCAGAGGCAGTAGAGATGTTAGTCCAGCACCGCGCAGATGTGAACAAATCTGCGGGGCCTTTGCATTTGCCTCCCCTCTCCAACTGTTGCATCAGGTGTGCACCAGCTGGAGTTGTTGCCAAACTGCTGGAGTATCAGGCGGAAATTGACACCCAGAAAGCAGCTTTGCGAGGTGTTGGGGCTGCACAGCCCCTGGCCGCTTTGGGTGTGTTTTCGTCTGTGAATCCGCATGCCTTAGAGGTAGCTCAGCTCCTCTTGGATGCTAAGGCCTCTATCGACTCCCAGTGTCCAGGTCGTGGCGTCTTCCGCCTCTTGGAGCTGCTGAGCCGGGCCCGGATCCGTGTAGCGCCCTGCGCGGGCTCCCGACTGGTGCGGTTCTTCACGGAGTGTAGTGCCACACCTTTGGGCATCGCGTGTTACTTTGGCGGCCATGAGTATGTCGATTTCCTACTGCAAGCAGAGGCTGATCCGAACATCAAGAACAACAGGGGCAACACTGCATTTCAGCTTGCACATGGGGAGAATGTGCTGAAGGTCATTGACCAATTTGAGACCATCTCAATCTGAGCGGGCCACAAAGGTCTCACCCTGTTTCACTGATTCTACTAGATGTAGGCGTAATTTTGGCAGATATAAATAGATATACAGTTTTCCCGCGTATAGGGAGTTCCAATCGTGTCAAGAATGCGTCCAGTACCAATGTCTGGCGCAGACACAGGCGCTTGCAGGTGCTTGAAGAGTTTGTGGGATGCAAGAACGGAGGAATATATTTTGATAGAAACTGGGCAAAGACTGCTGAAACATCATCACAAGAAAGGTTTCAGAATTGGCAAACACATTGCATTAATGGAATATGTTAATATGGCAAAGATTACCATCTGAAATTATTATCGCGGCTCTCATGATGTGCCCAGATGAAGTTTGCGAGCTTTTTGTTTGGATTGGATTTACTTCAACTAGCCATAGTTTTTGGAATTAAGTGGCAGTCTTGGGCCTAACTCTTTGGTTCATTTTTGTTGGTCTCTAGGACCTTGGCCGAACATGGCTGAACTGGATGGCGGTTTTCTGGAAGAAGCTTCAGTAGTATCCAGCCATTTGAAACACTGGGTTGATGTACATTTTAAAAAAAATCACCAAAATCATCCAAAGCCATGGTTCTGATCCTCCACTTCTACGAGTTATCGGTCAGTTTTGCCAACAAATCTTGGGAGTTTTCACAGAAACCGCGCGCCAGGTAGCTCTGACTCTTTTCTCAAGTAAAGAGCCAACCTATTCGAAGCCCATAAGCCGTGTGAAAATCCGCGGCTCGATTGCTGAGGTTGAATATTTGGGATGGGAGGAGCTGCAAATCCAGATGCTTTGAGGGGACCTTGGCACCCAACGACAAGATGCACAAATGGCTAAGAATGAAGGAATTTAATGGAATTTGGCGTGCAGATTCTACCGGTATTTTCTGGGTAAGTTACTTCATGTCACCTGACTTGCTTCAGCGATGTGATGCGGTGGCCTCGATGCGATGTGGCTTTCCTAAGAGCTTGTTGCCGAATCCCATCACACCATTGAAGTGGCTAGTGTTCTTCTAGGTTGTACTTCCACCATATTCCATCCAAAGATGCATTGATGCATTTGGAGTTGACATGAGTTGACTATCTCTCAACTTTCCCACCGACGATGGCAGTCAAGAAGATCATCTTCTTGTGGCGAAATTTCTGCCAACATCTGCCAACAAGAAAACTAAGATTGATTGCTTATAGTCTTACAACATTTCCATCATTATCTGCATCTGGGGGTTGCCTAGAATGGGGGTACCCCCAGATTATCCAAGTCATGTTCGCATTTTTGCATTGAAACCGGTGAGTTCCCACCTTTCCGGGGGAAGTACCACTCCACAACGCCACAACTGGGCCGCTCCATGGCATGCACGGTGCTGCGGGGCCTCGAAAAAAAGCCCAAGTTGAATGGCAGGGAGGTGAAGTTGGCACCACGGTGCTACGCTAGGGGATGGCTGGGGTAACCGAATGTAGATTTGGCACTCGTATGGTCCAAATGGTAGGAATGTGCATGTGCCCCCCCCCAAAAAAAACTGGTCAGAAATGGTCAGAACGTTTTGCGTGTTCATGTTCTATTTTTTACAGGCAGATGTTGAAGACGGTACCGGTGTTATAAAATAGAGTTGTTCCCTTGTAGAAAGCATTCAGGTGAAGGCGGTACCTTTAGCGTTTAGTATGCGTTTCACAGACATTGGATTAAGCATGCCAGACCTTGGATCATCAAAATGAAAAGACTTGAAATTAAAATGAAAGGACATGTGACATGATTACAAGAAGCAAGAACATGAATGCAAAATGAAGGAAATTGATGCTAAATGAACAAAAGCAATGCAAATGAGTGGAAAATTATGCAAGTACAGTAGGTGGTGAAAGGTGTGCCTGTTGCATAAACATCATCTCAATAGGTGCAGGGACACACAATATAGGCTGACCTCGTATTGACCTCATATAGGCTGACCTGTAGGGGGCGTAGATGGCTAGAAAGTATATGAGGAAGCGGTGAAGTGGTAGTAAAGCAATTGGCTGTTGCTGCAAAAATATGGGAAGATGTATAATGACAACTTACATCAAACATGAGAAGGCAATAGGGAGAGAGAGAGAGAGAGAAAGAGAGAGAGAGAGAGAGAGAGACCAGAGAGACACACCACACATGAGGCACAACAATTTGGGGTGACCGCATGAAACACAACAATTGGGTGATCGGTTCTTGCAGTATTTTGGTGTGTTTGTCTGGGCACATGTGCATTGAAATAGCTTTGCAGGGCCAACTTTGATGGTTCAATTCGTTTTGGAATGATGACGGCCAAGGACCAACTTAATGAGCGGTCTAACACCGGGCCAAGCCCCCACAATCTTCTTATCAGTCCTGCTGACGCCTGACTGACGCAAAGACTTATTTAAGATAATTATAGAAGCAAGTCAGATGGTTTTTTGGAGCTCTCGCCACATGGGCTCACGAGCATGATTCAATGATTATTACATTAAATATACGTGATTGATCGTTGTAGGAGTTTTTCTTGACATTGCTTATCATTGCTTATCAGAATCTATCGGCCAGTGACAGTGGTATCACTCCTGAGGTAGCTTTTCATGCTGATCGTGGCAGATGGGAAGTGGAACTGGAGGGTGCGATGCCCATGGTCGACCTCTTCAAGATTGCCTCCAGGTGGTGAATGTTTGTTCTCAGCCACAAGGGCAATGATCCAAAAAGATTAATTAATAATATATATATATAAATATGTGTGTGTAGTTAAACAATTAAACTAGGTACTGACATGTCAGAGTCGTACTAGAACTAGCCAGGTGCACTCAGATCTTAAGAGGCGTCTTGACCAACATTTGCCATCATTTCCCCCTTTCAGACCCAAATCTTCAAAGCCGGTGCTGCCAAGGAATGGCATGACGATTGGTGGGAGCCATTCGACGATGACAAGTACTCCAGTCTGAGGAAAGAACCAGGAGCAACTGATTGAATGCATGTCACCCAAAATCATCACCGGCCAACAAGTACAGTGACCTGTGAGACGTCATAAACTGATGAGTCGTGCTTGAAACCTCCTGTTTTTTTTTTAATTTGTTCAAGGTTGGAGCCTTAGGCCAGTAGTTACAACAGGGCAAGAAAGGAGGCCACATTTCGTGCCAGGAGTAACCTTTAAAGAGCTGCTGATGCAGAAGCTGGAGAGACTAAAATTGACAGATGGCCAAGCTCTTTCTGAACCTTGACTACTTGAAAGATAGGGTGAGATTGGAGAAAGGATGGACTTCCAGCTTCTCTTTGAGGGTCTAGTTCAGGAGAGAGGTTTGGCCATGAAGGCAAACTATCGCGAATCAAATTCCCGAATTTATACCCATGTGTGCATGCATATTTGTACATTTGATCACTTCTGCTTAGTGCTTGATTTCCAGTTGTCATGGGCCTGTAGGTGCCCAAATTGCTATCAAGTCATTTAGTCACTTCCCAACTCCGGCATCCATATATTCGTTGGCTAACCTCGCATTGGACACATCTAAACTTTGTACGTGTCCAGCAGAGGAAAATCCCAACTATTCATAGGAAGATATGGAACAAAATGGAACAGTAATCTACAAAAGAACTACATATAAGTTGGTCGTTTCACATTGCCATGTTTGATTGCGGGTAAGTCCTATACCTATATATATATATATATCTCTCTCTCTCTCTTCGACAGGTCTTCCCCATGCCGCACTTCAGAGGTGGTGGATTGCAATGGCCGCGCTGTGAGCGTCTTCGATGGCCGTGGCGTGCTACTGACTGAGCTGAGTGGAAAGCATCTTCCGCGAAAGGTGGAGACTGAAAGCGCAGCTGGGGCTGAAGTTGGATGGCAAGTCGGGGGATTCAAAATGATTTTAAAAAGTTGGAACTCCATCTTTAGCCTGGGCCAGTGATAAATTGTTCTTGTGGGATGAGGCGACAAGGCACCAAAAAGGTGCTTTTGTTGGCAAAGTTGGGTGGCCAGCCTGTTGCCACGGATTGAATGGAAATCACGCCCAATCGGCCAGATTTTGCCACGTTCCAGTCACGTTCCATTCAACTGTTGCGGCTTCTGTGGTTTGTTCCTGCCACTGAGGAGGTTTGCCAAAGAAGCTTCCCCTTGCAGTTCCAGAAGAAATCCCCTGAGGGGCGCACTTTGGCCATCAGACCCTCGTCCCTCCATGTGAGGGAGGATGATGACATTGAGCGCTTACGGAAACGCAAGGTCCCTTTTGGATCCGGGGCAGCTTGCCGGTCGTGCCGCGGAAGTAGCAAATATATGGCAAGTGGAAGTATCAAGCCCATGACGATTTAAGGCGTGGGCATAGTTATGTATGGATATGTCTGGATTTATTGTTTCTTAACATGGACAGTTATCCATTAGAATATAGCTATATATATATATGTACTGTATATACATGTTCATGTATTGTATGCCATCCTGGTGGGCGTTCAAGGGTTTTCAGTTTTCAAGTGCTCGGAAGGAGATTCCAATGATCTCCCCGACGCATCTAGTGAGCTGGCGTCCTCGAGCAGCCAGGTGGTAGATAAAGATGGTCCTTCAACTTTCAATGGGCTCATTGCGCCCAAGATCAATGAACATAGTTCATGAACCCAGAGAAAAAAGCAGTTAAGTATGTGAATTAGGTGATGCATAGTGATGTTTATGATTTACACCTACGCAGTTGAATACATACAGACAGGCACAGACATATATGCACAAATAATGAAAATAGTTTTTTATATCATGATAATATTAATACATGTGTTTATATATATGTATATATTTATTTATTTGCTTATTTATTTATTTTATTTATTGATTTTGTTTTTTATTTATTCACTTTTATTTATTAATAACTTGATTTTTATTTATTTATTTATTCATTTATTTATTTATTATATATATATATGTGCACACTATATACATATATCGGTGTTTCAGAAACGAACATACGTTGCATATAGGTTGTTCGGTTACGATTCTCACATCGCATCCTGCTACAGGTTGAGATGCGCCTTTGCTGCATGAGAGCAACGGTGATGCAGGTAGATCACCCAACAAAACGTATAAAATATGGGGAACACATAGGAAAATATGGGAAAAATCTCAAATCATCTTTAAATGGAGGCTTGATGCGAAAATCATCTATAGATCGGGCATTTCCCATTGCCGCACTTGATTAGCGGATTGTAATGAATGTGTCCTTATACTCAGATCGAATTGGAAGCGATGCGAGGTTATTCATCAGTTTCTCAGGATGAT